GGTGTAGGAGTAGAGAGGGTGTAGGAGTAGAGTGGGTGTAGGAGTAGAGAGGGTGTAGGAGTAGAGAGAGTGCAGGAGTTCCACGCCGTATTCCTTGCGCGGCCCCTGCGGAACGCCCCAGCCACTCACCACGTCCTTGCTCTCGTAGAGGATGAGCAGGGTGGCGCGCGTGGCGCCCGGCGGCGGCTGCAGCAGCTGCGCCTCCTCCTTGCTCTCGCCCAGCGCCAGCGCCAGGTGCAGCGCCGAGTCGCCCGCGTCGTTGCGCGCCAGCAGCGCTGCAGAGGGCAGGCGCGGCGTCACGAAGCGCACCTGCGGCACGCCCACACAACGTCTCGCGTTTGATTAGCGATTCCAGGCGCGCCCACTACTACGGTCATTAGACCCGGAAGTGTAATATAGGATTTTTTATGCTCTGGAAGCGGCGGTGTTTCAGGCCAGGCATGACTCTGTGCCGTGTACAAAGCGTATGCCTGTTATCCAGCTTGGAATGATATTTTAATTCGACTCGAGAGACCCACTTATTTAAGTAAAGGGGATCACAAGCACAAAATTTAGTGTTCAGCCAACAGAGAACAGAACTTTATTCACAAATAGATCAATAACGGACTGGAATAAGTTGTCTGCGACAGCCATGGAATCGTTTCCTCTAGGTGTACACAGTTTTAAAAGTAGATTGACTAAGGACATTTGTAAAATATATTAGGTAGTAGATTAAGCTTATCAAAATAATTATTACTTTCGTTGTAATTATATTATAATGATTGTTATTTTTATTATTAGTATTGAGATAATCACTATTATATGCATTTGTTTATTAAATATACAATTATATTTAAAGTAGTAGTTAAATTGAGGTGTCGTGATCTGTTGTGAAGTGTAGTGTAATAGAGAAGTAGACGGAGAAGTGAAGTGCAAGAGCAAATGTAGCGAAGTGCAAGAGCAAATGTAGCGAAGTGCAAGAGCAAATGTAGCGAAGTGCAAGAGCAAGTTTAGCGAAGTGCAAGAGCAAGTTTAGCGAAGTGCAAGAGCAAGTTTAGCGAAGTGCAACAGCAAATGTAGCGAAGTGCAAGAGCAAGTTTAGCGAAGTGCAAGAGCAAGTGCAAGTGTCGCGAAGTGCAAGTGCAAGTGTAGCGAAGTGCAAATGCAAGTGTAGCGAAGAGTAGTGCAAGTGAAGTGCATCTGCCTAGCCGAAAATCTATCTGGCTAGTGTCGAAAATCATGCCACCGTCAGGACTAAAACCTAGGACCTCCCTCTCAGTGCAGTGACAGTTGATGCCCTGAGCCACCTGTCCCGGTGGGGAGACACCGAAATAGGGCGACAGGCGTACACCGGGACGCGCGCACAACGGCCAGTCGAGAAGCGAGGGATACGGTGACAGGCGGACACCGGGGCGCGGTCAGCCGGGAAGGCACCGCGCGCAGGCGCCGTAGCGCGCGCTCACCTGCGGGTACACGGCCAGCCGGCAGGCGACGTGCAGCGGCGTGTCCCCCAGGGCGTTGCGCGCGCAGGGGTCGGCGCCGCTGGCGAGCAGCGACAGCGAGATGCTGTACAGGCGGCGCGCGGCCGCCACGTGCGCCGGGGTGTCCCCGGCCGCGTTGCGCGCCGCCAGCGCTTCGGGCGGCGCATGCACCAGCAGCAGGCTCACCACCTCCGCCGTCCACGTGCGCGCCGCCAGGTGCAGCGCCGAGTCGCCCGCGCTGTCCCGCGCGCTCCACAGCGACGCGTCCTGCAACGGAGCGTCCAGTCGCGTCGCGTTTCTTTGTTATACTGTACTCTTATATCCGGTGCTTCACCCAAACGGGTGGGGGTCTCATGGAGCTTCACCTCCCCCTCCAGCGAAGCTAACGGTAAATATTAAGAGAGGTAACGTTTGAAAAATAAATCTAGGCCAGGCTGAAACCTGCCAATATACTCCGATTTATTTATAATGGCTATTGACGTTTAATTAGCTGTTATGTTGTCATCGGTCAATCGGGAGTTTGAACTACACCATAGTGACGACACTGTAGTGATGCTTAAGCTCTCAATGCGATGACACCATACGTCTAGTGACATTACTATCTCACGCTGACTTACTTCAAGATTAATCGAAGTTTAGATAAAGTGTTCCCGGAAATAGAATAATTTTGTTGCAAGGTGAACATAAAATAAATATTTATGAATAGTTATTATTAATAAGTAGTTTTGTTGAAATAATATCTATTAATTCATATTTGACCATTTTTAATTCAACCCTCCGGCACATTTCCCCATAAAAAGGCTTCATTTATTATGCATTTCGGATTTTTTTACATCCCAATTCTTGGATTACTTGACAGAAAATGAAACTATGGGTCACAATGTTTCTAAGATTCACTCTCAATAATAAATAAAATTATCATAAATATTTTTATGGATCTAACCTGGACAAAACGTTTGGTCCCAGTATCCGTCTAGTGGTCTTCAAATTTATTATTCTATTTTAATGTAGATAAAGGGTGTTTATTTTACAGCCATAATAAGTCACTTGTCATGCAAATAAAAGTAACAATATTTGTATGGAATAAGAATAGTATAGATTTTAAATATCAGCAACACCTCATCAGCATATAAACAAAAATCCATATTACTCGGGGCAAATATATTCAAATTACTCATTTTCTGAACTACTCTGAATAGCTTGAATTCACAAACTTTTATATAATTAAATAACTTACCTTTGAATTACTGACTAAAATGGCTTTGACATCCCGCATATTGCGGCGTTTGATAGCTGAAAGTAATGCAGCGGCTTCTGGGCTTGCAGCTTGATCCGGCGACCAAACTGGCTGAGAACTTCTAAGAGACTGCGCAAGTTCACGCTTTTTCTTTGCATCCACCTCATCTTCCTCCTCCTCCCAATATCCTTTCTGGCAAGGAGAATCATCTGTCTTGGGATGGCCATTTACTATCTTCTCCTCATCGGACTTTTGAGACGTCCTCTTGTGCGTTTGAGAGTTAATGACAATCTGAATCTCCTTTACGTCTAATTTACGAGAAAGGTCAACAGAAGAATCTCCTTTGTGGTTTTGAATATTCACATCTGCACCGTTTCTGAGAAGCAATGTCGTCATCAAGATGTTCTTCTTTCCTACAGCAATGTGAAGCGGAGAATTACCAGATGAAGTTACATCAGAGACATTGGCACCAGCTTTGAGAAGCAACGTCGCACTGGATATGCACTCATTAGCTACAGCAATCAACAGAGGAGTTTGCGATTGTAAATTTAAACAATTCACATTGGCTCCCCTCTTCAGCAACAGGGATATGAGATCGATCTTCTTCCTACGCGTCGCTTCATGAAGAACTGTGAATCCGCGGCAGTCTGTGGCATCAACGTCAATTTCATACTGAAGGAGAATTTCCATTACATCAAGATGGTCGACAGACGCGTGAAGCAAGGTGGAGCCGGTTTTGGAGCGGGCGTTCACGCTGGCACCGTGACCCAAAAGTTTCCGCACGACCGGAACGAGGCCCAGGGAGCAGGCGAGGAACAGAGGGGTTTCGCCCTGGATGTTCTGTTGAATGAAGGCTCCCCGGGACAGGAGCTTGTCGACCAACTCCTCGTCGTGACGCAACACAGCGTAATGCAGAGGGCTGTTGGAGTGACGATCTTTCGACTGCGGGTCGGCACCCATCTCCAGCAGTGTGTCGGTGCTCTCTTGCGCACCACATTGGATAGCGAGGTGGAGAATTGATCTTCCATTGGAGAAGATGTTCCAGTTCAGGTCCAAGTCCTTAACGCCCTTATCTTCTTCTGTGATAATATTCTGCGAGAAGGCACTTTCCAGCACATTTTGGACGTCTTCGTTTCGAACTACAGAGTTGGTCAGTGTAATCCCATTATCTAATAGAAGCTTCACATTATTCCAAGCTTGAGACTTTGCGGCACAATAGATTTCTCTGTCCCCCAGCACGGCGACGCCTTTTTTCAATAGATGTCGAGACATTTCATAGCCTACATCTGAATTCTTCTGAACAGCCAAAATCAACGCTGTTCTCCCGCCATTGTCTACAGCATCAATATCTACACAATTTTTCAAAAGAATTTCCTTCAAGCAGTCAACATCATCATTCAGTACGCATCGGTGAAGTTCGTGCTGTTTCGACATTAGTTGATCTGTTACACTTTTCAGAGATTTAAATCGACGTTCCAACAATACATCCAAAATTCCTGGATTTTCCGCATGATGTTCGGCGATCCATCTTGCTGTAAAATACTCCGCAAACGTTCTGTGAATAAATCTGGGTTTCCCACAAAACACACCGACAATTATTCCTGTTTTCTCAACTCCTTTCTGAATGTCAGCAATGAAACCTTCAGTGTTTTTACAGATGTCCTGCTTTACTTTGGGGTGAAGAAAGTCGAAAATCCCACTCTCAAGCAAACCGCACATCTTGTGCTTCTCCATGAAATCTCTGTGCAATGCGTTCAGAAGGTTCTTTATCACAACTGAATTAGCTACTATGCTTGCTTTCTCCTTGCAGTATATATCGAATTTCATCTCCACAAATTTATCGTAGACGTAGAGTATGTCCTTGTGGCGCAAGCTCTCCTCGCAATTGCCCGAGAGAAAGCCACGGCCGAAAAGGTTGGCCATGATGTTCGTATGCAGCGGGATGTTGAGGCGTAGCTGGCTGCGGAAGCGACCACCAAGGTAATGCAGCAGCTGTTTGGCTTTGCGCATGAGCGTCTCCTTGGGAAGGGTGCTGCCAAGTGGTCCGGACCAGTACTCCACCCAGAACTGCTCCTGGTCCGCCAGCGAGAGCGGCTTCAGGCTGAACGCCCTCACGCGCAGTTCAGCCTCCAGGCGATCCTCCATCACTTCACGCGACGACACCCACAGGCTGGACACACACGAGTCCTGGAAAAGAACACACACGCACTCAATTGAAAATTGTTCTTTTGGGGTTGTGCAGTGTTCAGGTTACCCAAGACCATCACAACTAAGTGGCGTCAATCGATTCTGAGTGGAAGGTGCAAGGTGGCCGACAAGAAAGGGCAGTGGTAGAATAAAGCTTATAGAAGATAAACATAATGACAGAACAATCATAGAAGATTGTATATTGATAGTTATACATATGGGTTTTAGAATTATAGCAACAGAAAAAGTATAAATAAACAATTGTAGAGGGACAGTTATAGATTTGTAGAGGGGGAGTTAGTCTACTCGGTATGTACATTAAACTAAAAAAAAGGTCAAAAAGCTTTTCCTTGTGTATGTTGTACCCATGCACTAGTTAAAACCCCAAGGTTTCGACCTCCAACGCTCTTGGAGATCAAAAACCTGTGGTTTTGTCTAGTGCCTGAGTTCATACAACACATCAAAAGAAAACGTTTTTATGACTTCCACCATATTTCAATACCTACCAAATTTGTTTCCTTAAATACAAGAACTGAGCGCAGTCCCCATTAGCTTCTTACATACGTGCTTAATACTCGACTGCGCGGCGGGTTTGACAGAAAACTGCTTGAGTCGTCATAAACGAAAAAAATAATTTTCAACAACGCCCCACTATGTCTGATTTTATTGAAACCACGCTTTGAACAGTACCATTATTAATAATAACGAAGTTAATATTTCAGTGAAATCGTTGGAATAGTTTTTGCGTCTATGTGCTACACACATGCGCACATTTCCTTTTGTTTATAAACATCATATTCGGGAGGAAACTTCGAAATTTCAAAAAATAATCTCTTAAGACAATTTTATGCATATTTTGTCTCGTTAACTACTTGAATATTTCGATGGCTAAACCGCTGTAAGCTCTCAAGAGTTGGCTAATAGACTTTGTAAATAATAAAAAATTTAGATGTTTCTGAAGTGTTTCTATGCTTCTGCAACGTTTTTTGTCCCTAGAATGCAGTTTTTCAAACTTTTAACTGCTTATTGCGACTCAACTATTCAGAATCTCCCAGTTGTTTATTAAAAAAATATGCTTAAAATGTTCTTACGAGCTTAATTTCGAAGTTTGGCGTTTCCTTTCTAGACATCCTGTATGGATGCACTATGCTTACCTGCAAGGCCTTGAGAATGGCGATGACGGTCTCGGTGTAGTCGGGGCTGATCTCGTCGAAGGCGTCCACCAGCACGCGGAGGCGGCCGGTCTCCCACAGGCGGTCGCGCAGCAGGGCGCCGGCGAGCAGGTCGTCGGCGGTGGGGGCGGGGCCCGGGGCGTGGGCGGGGTCGGCGAGCCCCGCCGCGCGCCGCAGCAGCGCCTCCGCCGCCGTCGCCGCGCACTCGCCGCCGCACGCAGCCAGCGCGTCCGCGTGGTCGGCCAGCGACAGCCGCACCACCCAGTCGCCCGCGCGCCGCTCCGCCAGCCACCGCCCCACGCGGCGCAGCGCCTCCGACTTGCCCGCGCCCGGCTCGCCGCTCACCAGCACCTGCGCACACGGTCCCTGACACACCACCCGCCCACCAGCATCTGCGCGCACGCCCCTAGCCACACCACCAAGACCTACGCACACGCCCCTATCCACCCACCAGCACCTGCGCACACGCCCCTATCCACCCACCAGCACCTGCGCACACGCCCCCAGTCACACCACCCACCCACCAGCACCTGCGCACACGCCCCCACTCACACCTCCCGCTAGCCGCTCACCAGCACCTGCGCACACGGTCCCTGTCACACCACCCGCCCACCAGCACCTACGGACACGCCATAGCCACACCACGTCCTAGCCACCCACCAGCACCTGCGCACACGCCCCTAGTCACACCACCCGCTCACCATCACCTGCGCGCACGGCCCTAGCCACACCACTCGCTAGCCGCTCACCAGCAACTGCGCGCTCGCCCCTAGTCACACCTCCCGCTAGCCACTCACTAACACCTGCGCACACACTTCTCGTCGCACCACCCGCTAGCCGCTCACCAGCACTTGCGCATTTGTATACTTATTACGAAATCCTTCACATCAAGAAAATGTCAAAAATCGATTGTTGCTATTATTATTCTTTAATGGGGTTGATGGTTACTTGGATACGAAAACTATTTTTCACACTCATATTTAAAATATTTATATGCATTTACCTCCATGTACGTGAATGTTTCGCACTGTTGTAACTATTGAATTTAATTTCAAATTACGAAGGAAACTATTTCTGCACTGGTTAAATCCATTTCTTATGAAACATGTTTCACTGCATCAGAACGTATACCTGCCAAACACGGTTACTCCTTGAGTTTCAAATCAATCAGGAGCATACGTGACATCAAACTGCGTTTTGTGAGATTTCCAATTCAACATCAATTGGAAAAAACTGATTTTCGGCGCTTGCAATGCTTTGTAATTCGATTTAAATGTAGTGGTTCTTCAACGGAGAGGGGGAATATGACATCCAATCGGAAGCTTCGCGATGGTTTAAACTTTTAGTATTGCAGCTCCCAATTAGATGACAAGTACCCTCTCTCCGTTCAGCTCGTGACCTTAAAGCGCCACTATGTTTAAAACAAAATATAGAAGTTTGTAACAATTATATCGAAACAACGTGTATACTACACTTACGGTGCGCACGCCGGCGGCGGCGAGCTCCTCCTCGAAGGGGGTGCAGGAGACGCAGCCCTTGAGGAACGCCGCGTTATTCTCCAGCTCCTCGCCCTCCGCCTCCAGGAAGCCCAGTAGCGGGTTCTCGCCGCCGTCGCTGTCCGCCCCGGCGCTCTGGCGCCACATCAGCGTCCCGTCCACCTGCGGGCCACCACAGCGGAAGGTCACACACGCACTTATGGTCCGAATAATATATCTGCCAACTTGACAGCTGGAGTGGAGATGGAGCGATGTTGCAATTTACTCGGGCGGCAGATACGTGACCGTGTGGTTATTCTTGCATCAGAACACAACAGCAGCAAGAAAGAAACCGCAATAAGAACACACAACATTCGATGACGCAACCTCGCACACGATGCGTAACCAAAGAAGTAATGGCACTCTTAAACTTCCAGTTGCTTCACGCTATGAGATCTCTTTTTTTTCTTAATAACTCAGCTGTTGCGGTGTCATCCAATTGGGAGGTTGATCGTCATCATAGTGACGTCACTAGTGATGTGAAAGCTCCCGACTGGATGACATCGGCAAACTCTGGAGTGTCATCACAGAGTGTATCAGTCTGAGCCTCTGATTGGATAATGGACCCCCCCTCTCCCATTTCAGGCTGGAGCTGTCAAGTAGGTCGAATTATGATTCGTAGTATATTCTTCGATTTATTTACAGGTGCATTTGACAGGTCGTCAGCTGTTACGGTATCATTCAGTCGGGAGCTTACACATCACTACAATGACGTCACTATGACGACTGGTAGATCCCGATTGTACTCCCGATTGGTAGACACCGCGACAGCTAATTTACGTCAAGTCCAATTTGTTTAAATCCAAGTATAATTGTGAAGATAGGCTACTCTGAGAACGCGACTCCCGTGTTAAAAAAATAATCCCCCTTTTTCTGCGGTCATTTCATAATTATTTTGGTTCTTTACAATTATTAAGTCAACTAGTTTTACTTGTGGGCCTTTTTTGATAAACAGATACACCACGTGGTAAAGGGAACACGTTCAGAATACATGAATGTAATTAAGTTAGAAATAATTTACTAGTACAGGGTGGCCACAAGTTCCACGGACTTTTCCCACATTTTGTGATTTTTCTACATGCCACACAGCAAAAGTCGTTTGTTTTGGCCGGATTTGATAATGACCGGCATCTAATAACTAAACTACGTGAAGCCACGGAGGTTACGTATCGTAAAAAAACGGAGGTTAAGTCACTCGAAACATCGCAGGCTTCTGAATGTGTGACCATCTGGGAGCCCCAGGAATCTAAGGGCTCCGAGATCCCGGTCGAAAGGATAAAAAGGGAATGATTACGACTGACGAAGACTGACTAAATCGAAGGAAGTTTACTCCACTCTTTGTCCGACGCCAGCACGAGTTACAAATTATCGTGACAGAACTTATTTAAAAAATCCTATTGAAATTTCCATAGTGAGTATAGCAATTACAAATTCTGATAATTATTTTTCCACTACCCAGTTTAGTTGCAGTACAGAGCTCGCTATAACTCCTAAGAACATACATTTAACTAAGCGTAGTTTTGTAGAGATCCATCGTGAGCTTTCGAGCACTCTTTGACAGGCTATTTACCTCACGCTCTAACCTTTTTAACACACCCTTTACATTACACAACGTTTTTACAGATGCACAAACACGTCCGCTCTAGAACGCTGCTGAAATAAGGGAGTACAGTAGATAAGTCGGAAGGGGCCGGTTGGTTGCTATGACCTTGCCTAATAAAAAGTATAAAGCATTATGAAAGAACATAGTATTATTTCATATATACGTACAGTATAATAAGAACATTTTCCAAATCATTAACCGTAACAAATGCATTGCGCTATACTCACCCAATAATATTCCAACAATTCATTGACTTCTTTTGAAAGCACGAAATCAAAAGAAAGTAACGTGTTAATTCAGAAAGAAAAACAAACGAGAAATTTGCCAAGTTCTAAAAGCTTTAAAATTTTTAATAATTATTACATCGTTTCATCGTGAAGGCGTCCTACACTCTGAAGGTCAATTAATTCGAATTTCTCAATAAAGGAATTATAAAATATTTTTATAATTTTAAGAAACTTTACAATGTTCTGTGTAAAAAAAATGAACGACTACAGATAATAATTGGATGACGAAAACACTTCTTTTAAAACACTTTTTTTTTCAAAAGTCATAAACGAAAGATAATACACAGCGAGCATGCACGTTGAGGCTACGCTTCGTGTTTGCATATTTTACGCGAGTATCATTGTTTGTCAGTGCGCGAACTTGCACATGAGCGTATTTGTAAAATGCAAATTTACGGAGAATTTTACACATGAATTCCGACACCAAACAAATTTAAAAAGTGAAATAAAATATACATAAAATAACTTTTAATTCTTCGGGTTGTGTAGCAATAGTACATTATTATACGACAAAGCATTTTCTTCATCACGGGTTATACCTGATATACCGTTAATAAAATACAAAATTAGAAAATGGTCATGTTATGTGAAATAGTTTCTGTTACCACAGCAAGGAAAGTCATAAGGGTTGCTTAAAATGTTTATCACGGATGTGCGTTATAGAGAAACATTTAATGTTTTATTATAAACCATTAAGATGTGTCTTGGTAATAAATTAAAGAACCTGTACCTCAATTGAAAATATTAACATGCTATTTACGCATGTCTTGGGAATGGATAAAATGGTTCCTTAAAGCACCTAACATAATACAACGTCCTCCAGTAGATAAATCGCTCGTTATCACAACCGATGCAATAAAGGTGAGATGTGTATTATACTATTCACCATATATCCAAACTGTTAAAATATGTTGAAATATTAAATATAATATAAATTGTTGTAAATAACACATAGTTAAAAGAATATGATGTGCTGCTTAGTAATAAAAGGTGGATTCAAACCAAATCGAAGCTGTGGATATTTGAGGCAAAAATCCTTCGTATTTTTATGAGGATAAGTAAAGCCGGCTGTCCCATATTAGTAGATTTACTGCATCTAAAAGATTCTCAAGGCTAAATAAATCCTCTGAGGTAAATTCAAATCGCTTGATCCGTCGCCCTTTCTCCGCTAGTTGGTTGCGAAATTTGCATGGTCTGACGGAAGAGCGAGGATGATGGCCTTAGTCTCGCCACGTAAAATAAGGCAACTCAATTCAAATCGAAACGAATTAGCAACTAAACGCCAATGTTCTCCTACTCACCATTTTGAGGAAGTGGCAGCGGCGGCCCGGGTGCTGGTCGGCGAACTCCCGGAACTTGGCCCAGCCCATCTTCCGGCAGGCGACGAAGCGCGTGTCGGGCGCGTGGCGGTCCAGCGGCTGCACGCGCTCCGCGGGCGGCACCAGCGCCTGCAGCGCCTCGCGCGACGCCTCCTTCACCACGAACACGTCGCGGAGCCCCGGCGCGCGCAGCGCCGCCGCGCGAACCGCCACGCCCTTCTGCAGGCGGCGCGGCACGTACAGCTCCCCCTCTGCGCACAAACAACGCACACGCGTACAGCGAACAGGGACAAACAACGAATAAAGGACGCAGTTCTGCCGGCGGCGCGGCACGTACAGCTCCCCGTCTGCGCACACACAACGCACGTGGGTACAGCGAACAGGGACAAACAACGAATAAAAAACGCAGTTCTGCAGGCGGCGCGGCACGTACAGCTCCCCCTCTGCGAACGCACAACGCACACGCGTACAGCGAACAGGGACAAACAGCGAAAAGAAGAACGCAAAGCCACGCCCTTCTGCAGGCGGTGCGGCATGTACAGCTCCCCCTCTGTGCACGAACAGAAATGCGTACAGCGAATAGGGACAAACAACAGAATAGAGGGCGCAGCACCACGCCCTTCTGCAGGCGGCGCGGCACGTACAGCTCCCCGTCTGCGCACACACAACGCACATGTGTACAGCGAATAGGGACAAACAACGAATAAAGGACGAAGTTCTGCAGGCGGCGCGGCAGGTACAGCTCCCCCTCGGGGCACGAACAGAAATCATGCGTACAGCGAATAGGGACAAAAAACAGAATGGAGGACGCAGCGCCACGCCCTTCTGCACGGGCGCGGCACGTACAGCTGTCTGCGCACGCAAAAAGCACACGTGTTTAGCGAACACGGACAAACAACGAATAAAGGATGCGCGCACCGCGCCCTTCTGCAGGAGGAGCGGCACGTACAGCTCCCCCTCTGCGAACGAACGACGCACACGCGTACAGCGAACAGGGACAAACAACGAATAAAGGACGCAGTTCTGCAGGCGGCGCGGCAGGTACAGCTCCCCCTGGGCGCTCGAACAAATAGCATGCGTACAGCGAATAGGGACCAAAAACAGAATAGAGGACGCAGCGCCGCGCCCTTCTGCAGGCGGCGCGGCACGTACAGCTCCCCGTCTGCGCACGAACAACGCACACGCGTACAGAGAACAGGGACAAACAACAAATAAAGGACGCAGTTCTACAGGCGGCGCGGCACATACAGCTCCCCTCTGCGCACGCACAACGCACACGCGTACAGCGAATAGGGACAAACAGCGAATAATGACTGGGCTCACACGCGCTTGGTAAGGTCTTTTTCTATTTCTAAAACAACTTTGCACACAATGTGCGTTATAATTCTAAAACAGTACCATATATGAAAACGTCTATAGGGACATTTTTAAAAGAACATTTCATTACCATTTATTTAAAATCAAACGTAAAAATATCGGACCAGATATTACCGAGATTATGGTGTCTACATTGCGGTATCATCCGTCATCATTCAAGGCGTCTCAAGGCAAGCCCGACCACAACATTTGTTGGCATCCTGCACATTTACTTTCACTAAGGTGTCAAAAGAAAATCAAAGGAGAAACTGCGTCCGAAAGTTTTTGTATACTCGTGTGGCACTACTGCTTCCTCTTACTGGAGCTGCGCAAGTTAGCCAGGTCTTTTGCCCACGAAACAATCTATTAGGAGCATTCTCGAAACACACTCTCGCAATACTTGTCGGTCAATACTTGTAAATTTCTAGGAACGCATCATTTAGGCATAGTTAATCACACGACCACATCGGAAATATAAAATTTTACGTTAACGATCAATTCAGTAAAGATATATGTAAACAATTTTTATTCAGCAATCCTCAAAAAACATCTTATCAAAAGACATCGTAAGTTGCAAATTGCATACCTTATTTTCGTGTCTGAATCACTTCCGTTCTTAAGGACTCGATTTGGTTCCGACCAATTAGTGTGTACTAAATTTAGAGTTTTTAAAACGCTTGGTGGGGGATGCTTTGTAATAAAATATTTAATCTGAAATAGGATATAAAAATTGTTCGAGAATTTATTCTGCAAGTTTTCGAGGTTCCAGATAGTTACGGATCACCATCATCATCATCATTATAAGGAAGATTAAAGACTAACACATTTCAAGGTTCGAGGCATCTAAGAATGAGAGTTTTCGATATTTTTCCAATCACGATCCCACTGCATTTTTCGATGAAAGTCGCTTTTCTTCCATTGAAAGTCATATTCGATTATTTTAGTAGTCTATTAATTTTTGAGTTTGAGTGCAACCACTCTCAAAAAGTAAAATTAGAACAAGGAAAATGAACAAAAAATAATGAAAGCACATGAGCAAATTTTTAGACCAGTTTATAATCACAACTAGTATAAATTACAATCATATGGTGTTAACGCTTATAATTGTAATGTTAACTTAGAAAATTCATAAAAATCTTATTATTAATTTTTAGTATTCAGTAATTTATTAGTAAGGAAAGCAATTGCGAAATTCTTAATAAGTTTTAAGCAAATATTCATAAATGAAAAGAAAATGAACGAATTTCCTAAAATACTTGTAAAATCAAAGAATATTGTTGTAAATAAATTGTTGATAACAAAAAGGCTGTTTAAATTTGATGTTTGTGAACTTTTGTGAACTAGTCAAAATATTTCGAATATTTTAAATAGATGTGGTTTATTAAAGCGCATGAAGCAATATGATCTGAAATAGGGTCGACGAAAGATATATTCGTTACATAATTCCTTATGATTACAACTGGGTTGACAGAATATTGTTCCCGCAAATTGAAAAAAAGGTGACCTCGGAAGGGATCATCAATTATTTTTTTTAAATTCTCACAGCTTTTCAACTCAATTTTCTGTAGCGAACAATATATCCTATGTTAATTTCCTGAAATCTCCTTAGTTATTTGACACAGACGGCATACATTTTCGAAAATGAGATGATTCACTATTATTGGCTCACAAAAGTCTTCTCAAATTACTCGACTCATGAGGCGTTGTGAAGATTCAACTTACTCTAAGGAAGTTCTAAGCATAACCCATTGCTAATGATAAACCTTCTATCTTTTCAACGAATCTTATCATTTTGAGATTAGATTAGACCTTTCACGTTGATGGTCAGAAATACTCTAATCTGCATCTGCCACCAGTCTGAATTCTTTCACTATCTTCTAAAAACAGTTCTGTTATATTTTGTTCATTTAAAACTCCTTAAAGCAAATCCACTTTAATATCAATAGCGTACAGAATTATACCACTAGTCTATACTACTTTTGAGCATCTACTGTTGCGCAAGTCTTGACTCCGTGTGCACAGAAGCACGATATTACTGTTGTTTACTGCGCTGCGATTGAAAACTCGTTTGAAAAGTCATGACTCAGAATATTAAATGTGCTTATCTGCCGAACTACCCAATTTCAAGTGGTATTCGCAATACTTCTGCTGTATAGTGTGGCTACGCGCCATTCTGAAGTTGTTTTTTTAAATCTAATGTACATCTATTATTCCCAGTGCCCGGCATGCATTTCTCTACGTAGGAAACTAATAAGGTGAACAGTGCATTTATCACTCCAAAGCCCGTAAATTAAATTATCACGAGTTATTTCTATCGGGTATACTTTGATATCTCTACACTGGCCGACGAAAAAAAAGAACAGTTACAGTATACCAGATTGATGATACTGTAACAAGTTACCTTACATGCGACATTCTAGTAAAACGAATTCCCTTATCTCTCAAGTTGTAAACCAATACCAGGGTCGGCTCAGGGGAAGCCATAACCAATATGTAAGCATTTAGTACCAAAGTTAATGTTTTTTGTAAAATAAAATGATGTTGAAATGAAAAATTAATGATTTTAAGATCAGCTCAATAATTTCTGAAACACAAACACACAAGCTATTTATCTTCTACAAAATGTTAAAACGAATCGAATTTATTGTTTTCTTCTTTTTCTGGAACAACAAATTAAGCAGTCTCGACGTGCTAGTAAATTACAAAGAGAGGACATCACTTCATCAATCAGCAAAACATTAACTGCCTGATTTCAGTATGAGAGTAAGAATAATCAAACAGCTCCAAAGACGCTGTAATAGAAACGAAAGAAATGGCAGGAATGGTGAACCTAGATCATTTTAATGAAGTAAGAAAACGTGAAAGTTTGATGACAAGAGCAAGAACAAAACCTTTTCACATTCTCAGAAGAAAACAAAGATTCATATTGTTTATTACAGAAATGACAGGTCGGAGTCTAAATGAACTGAGTAGAAGGTTTCTGGCCATTCAAAACACTGAATAGTTTATTTGTCTCCGGGCGCCTCAAATGAGCTGTTTGAAATAATGAATGGAGAAGAATTTAAGTTCAAGACACTTTTGTTCACTGTAACAAAACTGCCCCTTATGCAAATCAGCTGTTGCGGTGCTATCCAATCGGGTGGTTGAAGGTCACCATAGCGACGTCACTGCAGGGATTGGATGAAATTCTAACAGCTGACGCCCTGCCAAGTGCAGCTTTAACTAAACCGAAGCATACCAAACAATCTAACTCCCTATATAAGAGAAATTTCCCGGGATGGTAGGCCGTGGCCCAGTTGGCATTTAAGGATCAAACTTTTAGTTTAGGTCTGCGATGGACATCTTCAGTTAGCGGCAAGGTCGCGGGGGCAGTGTTAGGGGCGGCAGATGGCTGACGACCGGCCCGCGACCGGCCTCCGACCGAAACCCGACCGGAACCCGACGGGAACCCGACCGGAACCCGACGGGAACCCGACCGGAACCCGACGGGAACCCGACCGGAACCCGACCGGAACCCGACCGGAACCCGACCGGAACCCGACCGGAACCCGACCGGAACCCGACTCTGGCGCCGCGGCCTTCCAGCCCAGACAATTTCTCTTACATTGACTCCAGCCGTGAAAGCTTACGACGGTATGTAATCGAGCTACATATATTTCTATCCGTCTGTTCATCTAATAACGTATCCACGCACATCTTGAAGCGGTCGCTAAAAGCGTCCTGCAGCGAGTTCGGTACCTGCCGGCTGGTGCAGCGGGCGGCCGACGCGCAGCGGCCGCTCGGAGCGCAGCATCTGCGCGAGGGCGTCGCCGCGCAGAGCCGCGTCCAGCACGTGCTCCTGGCGCAGGTCGGCGAGCGCGCAGGCGCGGCCCTGGAAGAGCGCGGGGCGGCGCAGGGCGGCGGCGCGGGCGGCGGGCGCCAGCAGGCGGAACGCCACGGAGTCGCCCGCCTCCGCCCACAGGCCCCGCGCAGACAGCCGCGCGCGCAGCCACGCCACCAGACGCTGCCTGCGAACACACGCGCGCGCTTTGTTATGTCGCGCTGCCGGGAGCGGCAACTGCGTGTTATGTCGGGGACGTTGGCGGTGTTTCTATCACCGCCTGGAATGAGAGATCCGGCGGTCACCTATACGTCGGCTTTCGTCTGGGCACCGCCTCATTGGGGACAAGCTTCAACCTCCCAACCGATTACCTGATTAATTAGTAGTAGTGTGCTGATTAGAAGTGTTCGCAAAAGGTTCAAAATTATCCAATGTGTTTCATTCCGTTATGGTTGGCGACAGCCACGCGCGCAGCCACGCCACCAGACGGGGCCTGCAACCGCAGCCACACCCACACGCGAGCGCGCGAACGCGGGCGCACGCACGCGCACACACACACACACACACACACACACACACACACACACACACACACATGCGCGCACACGCTTCGTTATGTCGGCCTTCCGGGAGCGGCAACTGAGTAGGTGCGTGTTGTTGCGGAAGTTGACGGTGTTTCTATCACCGCAAATAATGAGAGATCCGGGATAACCTATACGTCGACTTGCGTCTGGGCACCGCCTCAAAACTTCAATCACCCGACCGGTTAACCGATTATAAAGTAGTAGTGTGCTGATTACAAGTGTCCGCAAAAGGTTCAAAATTATCCAGTGTGTTTCATTCCGTTATGGTTGGCCACCAGACGGGACCTGCAATCGCAGCCCCACCCACACGCGAGAGCGCGTGCACACACATGCGCGCACACGCTTCATTATGTTGGCCTTCCGCGAGCGGCAACGGAGTAGGTGCGTGTTGTTGCGGAAGTTGACGGTGATTCTATCATCGCCTAAAATGAGAGATTCGGTGCTGACCTACACAACGACTTTCGCGTGGGCGTTCCATCTAGATCGTACATACGAGTATCTCCGCCGGAAGGGCACCCCCTCATTGGGGACAAACTTTACACTCCAACCACCGATAGGTTACCTGATTATGTGATGCAGTGTGCTGATTACAAGTTGTGTTTTTTGTGGTAGATATATACTTATAATATATATATATATATATATAGTATATATATATATAGAGAGGAGAGGAGAGAGAGGAGAGAGATAGAGGGAGATAGAGATAGAGATAGAGATAGAGATAGGAGAGAGAGTAGAGATAGAGATAGAGGATGGGAGAGAGATAGAATAGAGAGAGAGAGAGAGAGAGATTTAGACATTAGAGAGAGAGAAGAGTAGAGAGAGAGATAGACGATAGAGAGAAAGATAGAGATAGAGAGAGAGAGGAGAGATAAGATAGAGATAGAGACGAGAGAGAGATAGAGATTAGAAGATAGAGATTAGAGAGAGACCGATAGAGATAGAGAGACGAGAGAGAAGACATAGAGATGAGAGAGAGATAGAGATAGAGATAGAGAGAAGAGGATAGAGATAGAGATAGAGCAGAGAAAGAGATAGACATAGAGAGAGAGATACGAGAGCAGAGAGAGAGATAGACATAGAGAGAGAAGAGATGTTGAGAGAGAGAGAGATAGAACATAGAGAGAGAGATAGAGATAGAGAGAGATAGAGAGATAGCATTAGAGATAGAGAGAGTAAGAGATAGAGATAGAGAATTAGAGAGGAGATAGAGAGGAGAGAGAGAGAGAGATAGACATAGAGAGCAGAGATTTAGAGAGAGAGAGAATAGAGAGAGAGAGAGAGATGACATAGAGAGAGACGATAGAGAGAGAGAGATAGACATAGAGACGAGAGAGTGAGAGAGAGAGATATTCCACTATGAGAGAGAGAGATAAGAGATAGAGAGAGAGATAGAGATAGAGAGAAAGAGAGACGAGAGATCAGAGAGAGAGATAGAGATAGAGAGAGATAGAGGAGAGAAGTAGAGAGAGATAGACAGAAGAGAAGAGAGAGAGATAGAGAGATAGAGAGAGCAAGATGGAGCGAGAAGTAGAGAGGAGATTAGAGATATAGAAGATAGAGAGATAGAGATAGAGAATAGAGATAGGCAGGAGAGGAGAGATAGAGAGAGAAGAGAATACGAGAGAGACAATAGAGAGACGAGATAGAGAGAGATAGAGATAGAGAGAGAGATACAGAGAGAGGATAGAGAGAGAAATAGAGGATAGAGAGACGATTAGAGAGAGATAGATCGAGAGAGAGGTAGGAGAGAATAGACGAGTTAGAGAGATTAGAGAGGAGAGAGATAGAGAGTAGGAGATAGAGAGAGAGAGAGAGAGAGAGAGAGAGAGAGAGAGAGAGTCAGGATTGTCCAGCTGGTGGCCCGCGGTGCCACTTATTGTGCCTCGCGAAAGGTTCGTAGTGAAAAGTGAAAGCCCGTGCACCCATATCGGCCGAGAACATTGTATGCCTAGCGCACGTGTCGTGCTGAAGTAAACAATCCCTTTATTGAAAAAAAATGGTTAATTTTAGATTTAAGATTTTTTACTAGTATAATCAGATTCAAAATTATCCGATGTGTTTCATTCCGTTATGCTTGGCGACAGCACTGCGCGCAGCCACGCCACCACACGCTGCCTGCAACCACACGCACGCATACTCATATGCACATGCACACGCACACGCGCGCACACACACACACACACATGCGCGCGCGGTTCGTTATGTTGCGCTTCCGCTTCGGACATGTGCATGGTATGTTGCGTAGGGTACCGACTCATTTCGGACAGATACAACCTCCCGACTATTGACCTGATTATGTGTGATAGTGTAGTGAATATAAGTATGACTGTGTGTGTATAAATGATGTGATAAGAACGCAAAAAAAAACGTGCTCGGTCCATGGTCCCTTTGTTATGGTACTGCTCCGGCATTCGCTTGGTGTTGATCGGAGAGACATAGCAAACTCTCCATGCTGCCACAATTCCCCTCCACACAGCAATCGAATTCGAGCTACCTGACAAGCTAGTGACGAAAACCTGCCGGGAGGTCCTGCCACCCTTAGGACCTCCCGGTCAGCGGCAGTGCAGTGACATTAACTGATGTCGTGAGCCAACCGAGTCAGTATGGAGAAAATACTCACTCGGGGCGTCCGGGGGCGACCGGCGGCGCCAGGATGACCAAAGCCCTGCCGTGGGCGTCGTCAGGGCGCGAGGGCGGTGTCCGGAGGGCCAGGGCCTTCAGCAGGCGCTCCCCCAGCGCCCCGTCCCCCTCCTCCTCCGCCTGGGTGTGGTCCTCCGCGGGCAGCAGCAACGCCAGCTCCCGGCACCAGCCGCGCTCCCACAGCCCCAGCGCCACCTCCACGTCCGCGCCAACGCGCGCCACCAGCAGCGGCCGCTCCGCCGCCAGCTGCGCCATCTTGGCGCCGCGCACCTCCTCGTCAGCCGTGTCGCTCGCCAGCAGCAGCGCGCCGCCCGCCGCCACCCCAGCCACCGCCGCGCCCAGCCTGCGCACAAACACAGTTACCCGTCGTTAAGAGAACGTCTTGTTTCTCTTTTGGTGGATCCACGCGTTACGCACCATTCAGTTTATGGGTTATATTCGATTCAAATTCCTTTGTTATGCCTGCGTTTGGGCTTCTTAAGAATGCCGAATGTATGGATCCGCTTTATCCTGGTGTCAGCAATTTTTTCTGCATCGTGAAACACTTAATTTAGGGACATCGCATCTTCAAATGTCAGTAACTCATGGATTTTTAGCAAATACAGCATAAAAGAGAAGCTCGAGTGTATTAAAGCCTGGCGTGTAAAATTTGAATGGCAAAGAAAATGCCAATGCTAATATACAAGAAAAGCTATTATTATTATTATTATTATTATTATTATTATTATTATTATTATTATTAATATGCCTTGAAGAGTCTCGATTAGCAGATGCTTGAAGTTGAGTCAAAGACCACGACTCAAAACGTAAAAAAATATAGGTATGCGCTTTAAAAACAATATGACAATAAAACTGATATATTTTAAATATTTTAGAACGTGGTGCGAACATGTCATTATAAAATGTGATGTGAACGTTCAATGTTTTAACCAATTAAAATTTAATGAATTGAAAATATATAAAAAAAGACCACTTAAAAAATAAATGGAATGAAACACGCAAAAAAATCAAAAATAGTACGAGTAGTAGCTTGGCAACTGAGAGCGTAGGCTTCCGCGGCCGGAGTCAGTATTTACTTGGCTGTCCGGGTTCATGGAGAAGGTGCCAACCTTCCCTATGGACGCGGCGTCACCCGGACAGCCAAGTAAATACAGCTTTGCGACTGCTTCAGCAATTTCCTGAATGACACTACCCGAGGAAATTTGTAAATCCTGAGGCCTATCTAGGAATTGTAGCATCAAGTCAAATCTTCCCAGTGGAAAACTGATTCACGCATGGAGTCGATTAGTATTATATTGATTCTTTCTCCGGGTGGAGAGAGGACGCCTGCTCACCTGCGGATCTCCGCGTCGTGGAAGCGCAGCTCGCGCAGTAGCGGGGCGTCGGCGTCCGCGTGGACAACGAGGCGGCGCCAGGGCTCCCAGTCGGCCGTGAGGTAGCGCACGTCACCCGTCGCCTCGTACCACTCCTCCACCGCGTGCACCAGCGCACGCGCGCGCGCCGCCAGGTCTCCCGGCACGCGCCGCATGTGCTGCGTCAGCTCCTACACAGGCGCGACGCACGCGGACTTTAGACGCGCACGCGGTACGGAATACGTACGCCCGCTCCTTTACGATGGAGAGATTACTCGATGGGATAGCCTGGACAGCCAACACACAAACACACACACACACACACACACACACACACACACACACACACAATACATACATACTAACGCATTAATCGCGCACTATTTCTTGAGTCAAGATATACCTACATCCGCTCCTTTATTCTAGAGAGATTACTTTATTTGAAGATGCTGCTTTACTCTTAGAGAGGTTACTCTATAAAAAGAGGCTGCTTTGACACCTTCTGTTCGCACGCCCGCACGCACGCGCGCGCACACAGAGACACACACAGACACACACACATTAATCGCGCACTATTTCTTGAGTCAAGAAATACCTAGCTCTGCCTCTTTACTGTAGAAAGATTACTTTATAACAAGAGGCTGATTTGACAGCTTCTGCCTCCACACCCGCACTCGCCCGCGCACACAGACACACACACACACACACACACATTATGCGCGCATGCGTTCTCTCTAGACCCCGGAATACATACGCCCGCTCCTTGACGATGGAGAGATTACTCGATGGGATCGCCTGGACAGCCAACACACACACACACACACACACACACACACACACCACACACACACACACACACACACACACACTATACAAACACACCATTGCACGCGCACTATTTCTTGAGTCAAGAAATACCTACCTCCGATCCTTTACTGTGGAGAGATTACTTTATATGAAGATGCTGCTTTGACAGCTTCTGCCCGCACGCACTCACGCGTACGCACGCTCGCACGCACACATACGCGCACACCCTCTCCCGCCCCGAAATACGTCACACCAATCCTTTACTATAGAGAGATTACTAAAAAGAAATGATCGCCTTGACATCGTCTGCGCGCAAACACACACACATACATACGCACACACGCATTACTGTACTGCTCCTTAACTACAGAGAGATTACTTTATAAGAGGAGGTCACTTTGACAGCTTCTGCCCGCACGCACTCATACACACACATACACACACACACACGCATTACACGCGCACTATTTCGTGAGTCAAGAAATACCTACCTCCGCTCCTTTACTGTACAGAGATTTCTTTATAAGACGAGGCTGCTTTGACAGCTTCTGCCCGCACGGACGCACAGTCGCACACAACAACACACATTATACGCGCGCGCTTTCTCCAGCCCCTGAATACGCACTCCCACTCATTTACTTTAGAGAAATTACGACAAGTAATCACCTTGACAGCGTCTGCCCGCACACATACATACTCATTCATGCATTACAAGCGCACCATTTCTTGAGTCATGATATACCAACACCCGCTCCTTTACGATAGAGATATTACTATAAGAAGGGACCGCTTCAACTACTGAGGTCATTAGTCCTGTGTTTTTTTTCCCCTCGAGGGGTAGCGGTGATCTCCTGCTGAACAGAGAGATTCGGCGCCCACCTACCGTCAGCCAGCGAGGGTTTCCCCAACCCTGTATCTAGCTCTAGTGGGGCACCGCCCCAGCCGGGACAAACTCTAAGTTCACGGCCGGTCTCACAAAGTGTGCGCTTGAAAGTGCGTGTTACGGGAGAGGATAGGACAAGGAAGAAGTAGGAGAGATCGCGCGCGGTCCATGGCTCGTGTATTATGGTACTCTCCGACATTCGCTTTTTTATCGAAAAAAAATGGAAAACTACCGATCAGAGCAGTCCGCCGTTAGGAGTCTCCTCCAGACAACGACTGGACTCTACCTAGCTGACAAGCTGGTGTCGAAACTCGCTACTACCGGAACTCGAACATAGGACATCCTGGTCAGTGCCACCGCAGTTAACATCAATCGATGCACTGAGCCCGCTCTCCCGTCCGAATTCGGAATTGCTGCGTTATCATCTATGCGATCGGCAACAATTGCATGCGCAATAGACGCGTTCTCACCTGGCCGAGCTTCACCCCATCGCAATGGACGCGTTCTCACCTGCCCAAGCAGCACCCAATTACAATAGACTCGTTCTCTACTCCACATTGTCATTTATTTTTCCCTTTTCATACTTTAAAGAATGATAGAGTCCCCAATCGCATTGGACGCATTCCCACCCGCGCGAAGGGAAGCTCATCGCATTGGACGCGTTCTCACCTCCACGTCTGTCGTTTATTTTTTGTTTTTGATACTTCAAAGAATGAGAGAGTCGCACCCCCTCGCAATGGACGCGTTCCCACCCGCGCGAAGGGAAGCCCATCGCAATGGACGCGTTCTCACCTTCACGTCTGTTGTTTATTTTCTCTTTTAAATACTTCAAAAAATGTGAGTCACACACCATCCCAATGGACGCGTTCCCACCCACTCGAACGGCACCCCATCGCAATGGACGCGTTCTCACCTCCACTTCTGTCGTTTATTTTTTTCTTTTTGAAACTTTAAATAATGAGAGAGTCACACTCCATCCCAATGGACGCATTCCCACCCACTCGAACGGCACCCCATTCCAATGGACGCGGTCTTAACTGCGCGAGCGGCAACCCATCGCAACGGCCGCGTTCTCACCTGCGCCAGCAGCTCGAGCAGCTCGACGTCGCTGGCCTGCGAGCCGAGCCAGAGGAAGCGCGCCTGGAACTCGGGGCCGCGCGCCTCGCCGGCCAGGTGGTCGGCGTGCGGCGCCAGCACGCGCGGCTGCCCGCGCCCGCACCCGGTGTGCAGCAGGCGCGCGGCGGCGCGCGGCAGCGCCCCGGGCCCCACCGGCGCCTCGAGCAGCGCGCCCTCGGGCAGCGCCGCGTTCGTGAACAGCACGTAGTAGGTGTCGCTGGGCTCCGCGCCCAGCCGCCGCGGGTCCACCTCGCTCACGTACGACCTGCGGACGACAAGAACACGGCGCGTCAGCGAGGCGCAAGACAGGGGTGCCAGCTGTGTTACGAGCTCTTTCCGTACCACGGAATGTCCCCAAATAACCTCTCCATTGAAAAAGAAAAAAAAATCCCCAACTTTGAAACGAAAATGTTTCTCCAAATTATGTAGAAACGACATGAGCTGCTTGTTGGCTGTCCCCGGTTGTTACTTTCAACCAAATCATCTCCTTTAAACTGATCAAAATCCGTAACTATCTTCGGTTATTTCTCATTGTTTTTTTCTTTCCCCAATCTGTCTTTTATTTTCCTTTTTTTTGATACATCGCGTTCGTGAACAGCACGTAGTAGTGTCGCTGGGCTCCGCGCCCAGCCGCCGGCGGATCCATCTCGCTCACGTACGACCTCGGACGACCAAGCACACGGCCGGTCAGCGAGCCGCGATCAGGGTGCCGAAATGATTGCGAAAGCCTCTTTCCGTACCACGAAGTTTCCAAATACCTCTCCATTGAAAAAGAAAAAAAATCCCCAACTTTGACGAAAATTGTTTCTCCAAAATTATGTAGAAACGACTGAGCTGCTTGTTGGCTGTCCCCGGTGTTACTTTCAACCCGAATCATCGCTCCTTTAAACTGATCAAAATCCGTACTAATCTTCGTATTTCCTCGATGTGTTTTTTTCTTTCCCCATATCTGTCTTTATTTTTCCTCTTTTTATACATCGCGTTCCGTGAACCAGCACGTATATGGTGTCGCGGCTCCGCGCCCAGCACGCCGCGATCCATCTCGCTCACTACGACCTTCGGAACGACAAGCACACGGCGCTCAGCGAGTCGGCGCGAGGCCCCAGGGTGCCAAATGTATTGCGAGCTCTTTCCGTATCCACGAACTGTTTCCAATAACCGTCGTCCATTGAAAAAGAAAAAAATCCCCAACCTTGCTGACCGAAAAATGTTTCTCCAAATTATGTAGAAACGACATGAGCTGCTTGTTGGCTGTACCCTTATTTCAAATCAACCAATCATCGTCCTTTAAACTGATCAAAATCCGTAACTATCTTCGTTTTTCTCATGTTTTTTTCTCCATGTCTGTCACTTATTTTTCTCGTTTTGATACATCAAAAAATGAGAGAGACTAACGTCTCTTGCTTCCTTTTTATTTATAATGATTTATAGAATTTTTTCCTCGACTCCAGATGAAAATAATTCCCCAAAAAATCTTCAAACATTTTTCCGTCCATTTACCCATTTTTTCCCAAAACAAAAAATCCCTGCTTTGGGGACAAAATTCCCCGATCCGGCAACCTGGATGAAGATTTTCAGGGGTCGTATTCTCCGATTGGAGAATGGACCTGGAAGGGGAGAGGGGACACTTTCATCCGATCATGGGGAGCTCTAATACCAATAATTTATGTCCTAACTAAGCTTCCTATTGGATGACACTGCCTTACCCCCAACCCCACCCAATCCCGCTCTTCGTACAGCTAGTGACCATGAAGTACCCCGTATGTGGTACTATACACTTAGATTTAAATAGAGTGATTTCTGACATATCGTCTTCGGCGACGCGGCTATTCAAAGAGGAGCTTCAATGTCAAAAGTTAAGCTGTAACAAAGCTCCAGATTGGGTGGCTGTGTCGCAGCTGGTGATTTGTGAGGAGTCGCTCTATTTAAATGGAAGTACTCTCATGAGCCCAAACACACTACGGTCAACGAAACCTTTCGTCGCTAGACAAGTAAATCTCACGCAATCCAGAATAATTGTTTCGTGATCAATTAAGTTGAAGTTGATGCAGTTAAATTTGACAAACATGTATCAGTACGTACTGAATTTCACTCTAAAACCGACGATACTAAACCGAGAAATAAATATGAAAATAAAATTGTGTTTATTTCAATTTTTTTTAAATTTTTCATTTTTCTAAAAACAATTTATAAATATATATTAATTTAAAATAACTTTGTTTACTGTTTAGTGTAACTTTTGTTTTAGCAATTCTTTTGTTCCGAGAAAAAGTTTTTTTTTTATATCTGATTTAAATTCTTTATTTTTGTGTACCATTAATAACATAGTTACCTACTCATGTTCTGTAATTATGTACTAATATGCATATCCTTGTTACAAAAATATGGGGGTCATCTTTTTGCTTATGCACATTCTTAATCTGCTAATGAATTAACTCTTTCCTGACGCGGAGTTAATTTCCCAGTGGCCAATCACAACAGGGGCAAATTAGTAAGCTCAGTGCGCCGAGATGGCGACCCAAATTTCTACGACTGAGTAAGTGTATTGCGAAAAGAGAAAAACACGTTATAGTACTCTGCGATGCATGTTAACATGTCTCTGCAGAAGATAAGGAACACGTCTTATTCGGGTCTGGGAATAATGTATTTTCGAATTCCGAAAGGGAAATTCCTATCATACTGAAAAGCTCTTTTCCTGACAATTATTTGTGTTGTATGTTTCCGTTAAAACGAAAATGAAAGGTTTCGGAATCACGAGAAATGCTGTTAACACAAATGGGATAATAAATTATAGCACAGAAGAAATGTGAGAAGACACCGCTGACACCCAAGAAACATTATACAATATAATCTAATGTTTGGGTGGTGGAGGCAGAGAAATGAAATGATTGTAAAAAGTGCTGTGGATCTGTCGTAATGTTGTCTTTTTAAAGTTGTTTTCTTATCTACTGACTGTTGCATCCAAGCCACAGACTCTTGCGACAGATCTGTTCTTATCAAGTCTGAGTCATTTTGTATCTTTAATGTGGGTGGCATTTACTATCAAAATACACATGACCAGAGAAATAATACACAGGCTGTTCAAGGAGAGCAATTGTACTGCGCTTTTGAGATTAACGAGTTCTAGGAGATAAGAGCTGGAGATGTTTTATTGAAAAATCATTATATTCGAAATTTAATTATGTAAGTCTTTGTGGCTGCCAGATTTATTGACGAAGTTAAATGATCAGCGACCCATGAAATCACTGCTGGCATTTACACTTCTCAAAAGTCGTTTACGTCTTATCTTATTTTGTCGAGCGGAAAGTACTTCTTGCATTATGCGGAGTAATTGGCTCACATGATTATAATTAGCCTCAATGACCCACAATTGCGCAAACTTCATGAATCCAGTTTTTCTTTATACCTCGATGAAAATAATTCGGTCCAAATTAATATTTGACCAATACATGGAAATATTTTCTAACTATTTTGTAATTAACATCCACTTGTACAAATCGTAGCATTACCGGTACCTAACTTTGCTTCTCTCTAAGAGCTTGAAGTCCTCCTGAAATCGCTTGCTGCCCAGAGCGAGTCATTATGGGCTTCGTCGAATAGTCGACGTTTAGAATGTTCCTTACTGCGTCTTTAAAGAAGGAAAACAACAGAACTGGAGATGATTAGTCGTTCATTGATCAAAGAAGCTGATCAAGCACTCTCATTAATTTTTAATTTATTTGACTACATTTTTACTTTCAGTTAGTCTCCAGGCTAGTTTTATTATTACTATTGTCATTCGGCATATATTAATTCCAATGAACTAACATCATTGAAACTCTTCTTCAAAATCCTATTGTTCTGGACTTGATGGTTTGTTTAATTTTAATTACACTCATCGCTAACTTTTATGCCATTGTTACAGCATTTCGAAATTAAAATGATAAAACCTTCCTTTCAATTACAGTTTGCGTACTAGTATTTCTTTTTATTTGCGTAATGTCACCCACCCACAAAATATTAATCATAGAGATATTTTCCCTTAATAAAGTCTGTTCCTTAAATATATATTTTAAAATAAGGTCATGTACAATTTTTCGAAACATTCGAGTACATTTCGCGTACTTTATACCCATTAACAATATCGCGAGAAATACGTGTTGTTGTATCACCACTAATTTCTGTTGAAAATACGCAGTTTTGTCACGCCTCATTACATAACTTTCCCTCTACAACGTAGTGGCAGAGTAAAAACATGGAAACATCGCCGTATTTCCCTCTAGAAAGGTAGAAAGTAAAATCCTGGAACCATGGTTGTCGACGTCGCCGTGGGTTGCGCGTTGCCCACTCACCGGTAGTACTTGCGCACGGCAAAGGAGCCGCTGTCGCCGCGCAGCGCCTGGCTGCCGACGCGCGGCGCGTTGCTCTTGTCGCTCTTGTGCTTGAGCTGCAGCAGCAGCAGCACGGGCGCGCGGCCCGGCGCCGGGCGCACGTGCACGCTCACGTCGTCGAACACGCCCGCGTGCTTGTGCTCCGCGCCCACGCGCGCCCCCGGGTCGCGCGCCAGCGCGCGCGCCAGCAGCAGCGCCGCCACCTGGTACTGGAACGACACGCCGTGCTGGCTGGACGTGCCGTCACGACGCGCGAACGTCGACCTGCAGACGAACGGAAGCGATTCAGTCGAGATGGAATTCCAGGCGCTTTGGAAACATGTTTTCTGAACAGATCCATACCCCCACACCCACACCCACACCCACACCCACAAACACACCCACAAACACACCCACAAACACACCCACAAACACACCCACAAACACACCCACAAACACACTCACAAACACACCCACAAACACACCCACAAACATTTTCGTGCTTATGTGGGTCATTGCACATCAAATCGCACAATTTTAAGGAAAATTTGATCTTGATTTCCCAGATTTTAAAAGTTGTTTCTATGAGGATCATACGTAAAAATATGAAACACGTGTTTTTCATTTTTTCCCAAATATTACTTTTTGAGATATTAATTCTCAAAAGTTACCAAAAAATGCTGCTACCGCTAAAGGTCATTTTTAACTCGTGTTGTAATTGTGACAAATGTACTATTTTGCAACATGAAAGGAAAAAGGGTGCTCTTTCGTGTGCTGTATAAATTAAACTCCTTATTTTTAAAATATTTGACTTACTTTATTTTTTTACATTTCGACAAGTTAAACCGACAGTTTCAAAAATTGTACAAAACAGTTTAAAAAATTGAAGTAAAAAAAACTTTTGAAATTTCTGAAAAATTCTACACGAGATTTCTAAGTTACAAAGTGAGACATTGAGACGATTCTGAGAAATTAAATGCGATAGAAATGTCTAATTTCTGTTTTGCTGTAGAGTCAAGGTAGAGAAAGCTGGCAGGCAGTGTGCTGCCTACGTGTCCCGGTGAACAAACTTTTTTTTAATGTTATTTATGTGTGTCCCACTTTAAAATTTGGCAGATCTATACAACATTACTGTAGAAATACATGAGTATTTTTATAATTAATATAAATGTCGATCTAATGTAAAAATTTGCATTTTAAAAATTGAAAAATATTTTAAATATTTAAATAATAAGTATACTAATATTATTTCTTTATCATATGAAAATAAGTGTAATAGATTTTTTCTGAAATACACGGTATTTGCGAAAACAATTAACATTAGCGGGCGCATAATTTTTCAGAAAATAATAATTGGTGATATTTCTTAAAGAGGTGTGATTAGGGTAAAAAAATAAGTGTCATTATTTTCAACCCTAGACCTCATAAAGTTTCAAGTCGCTAAAAATAGTGATGTTTTGTGAGTGTGCTGACGACTTGTTCGTTATTTTAACATATGTACACTCCCATATATTGTACTAATATTTCAATATTAAATTAATTGAAATACTAAAATATGCGCACCGTGCTGGCTGGCCAGTGAATAATTGTGTCAAAACTAAACGTTTACATTACGTGAAATATTTAAGTAATATAATAATTTTAATTAATCAAATAATAACTATATAATGTTTATACAATTTATTACACATAACATTATATTACAGTAATTAATATTATATGATTCTATCTGATTGCGTCTGAACATTGCAAACTGTTTGTAATATAACGATTAACTGTACTTTCAATAAAGCTGGCTCTATTAGGCAGTGAAGCGCGATCCTGCCACTCGACCGGAAGTTAGCCTCTTCAAATGGACGCTTAAGTCACAAGGGCTCTTAAAATTCCTGAAACAAGGAGTATCTCCCGAAGCGGGCACGGCAGAGCGTGCAGGCCCCACGGAAGCTACGATAATATCTGAGCGTGGGCCCCAGTGAAGGAAGTTTCCTCGTCAAGTCGACCGAGCCGTATCTGGTAAGCTACATACAAGTACAGCATGTGTCATTATTCACGATGTATGTCTTGCGCGAGTCATATGCTCTTCACGGCCGTTACAACGCGACGGAAACACACGAGACAAGTAGATAGAGCGCATGCGCTGTAAAGCCAACTACGAACAACTATCGCTGTTCAGGCAACATCCGTGCATTTCCGGGCATCGTCATAAAAATTGTGCTCGTTTTTACTTTCCCCCGCAATTTCGTGTGAAACGTGTGAAATAAAAGAAAATAATACATCAACTACAGCAACACTAGTCTGATCGAAAACAGCACAAAGTAAAAATCACCTAGAACTCAATGATTTGTGAGGGGAAATTCATGAAAATATTTTCATAAAATATTAATAATAAATAGTAATAAAAGTCAGGGATATGAATAGATCTGAGTTTGGGTACCGGTTTTGGAACCGAAACTTAAAACTTCATTATCGTTGCCAATTCATATCTTTTAACTCTTATGATGGGAACGATGCCCTAAGCCTAAAATTCTAGTTTCATTTCGGACCTCGCCTATCAAATCAGCAGAAAAAGTATACCTGGTGCAAACTTTACTTCCGTGCTATGGACTGAAATGAGCTGATACGCAACCTTCATATAGTGCTGTTTGTCTTTTTTAACATATGTAAGTTGAAGACAACTTAAAATATCCGTAGTGTAATCGGGTTTTCAACACTGAATATACAACTGTTAAATAAAAATATTGCTATGTTCCCTCTAAGTGGCCGTCCCAACAAGTAATGCAAATTTTGAGTATTTTGAGTTTACTCTCTCCCCTCTATTATGTACTTGTAAGGTGCGCGTGAACCCCTCTAAATAATTATATAACGCTTCCTGCACTCCATTTTTATAATAGGTGAAAGTAAATTATGTAGCAGTAAAATAATTTGTGTTAAATTTATTTCTGCTATATATAATTGTACTCAAAATTAGTTACTGATGCGGACAATAAAATTGAGGGCAATTCTTTACCCTGCAACTTTGAAACGAACTACGAAAAACATACGTGATATAATGTTTGACAATCAGTGCACAAGTCCTCGTGGATGCATGAGCAAGAGTCTACTGTGCCATTTTAATTGGATTCTTCAATATAGATTAGGTTTGAAAAGTTTCTTCGCAGTCTAACAGATTAAGTCAATATGCCATTCATAAAAGTATTTGTAATACATGTAACATAAGACATCGTAACTTTTGAATTGATTCATATTTTAAAACATAAAACAATGTATATTGTATAATTTAACACACAAAATTTAATGTGTTAATATTTTATTTCTTAATATGAGAATAAATAAAATAAATGATTTCAGAAATTGTTGGAAAATTTATGATAATTTCCGCGATGCATAACTCAAAACTAACACCACTTGCCCCTGTTTGCTTCAAGCCCTCCCTCTTCTCTTTGGAATAACGTTTAGTAATTTATGGACGTTCCCTAAGCACAGAAATGTATGATATAAAATCATCATTCCCTTCAAATAGGACACCTACTTCATGGCATAATATATAACAATCATATCGTCATTGATGGGGGAGGGGATACTTTAAACATTTTCCGTCATTTTCGTTGTATTTTGGGTTTTAAAAGAAATGAAATTCTCTTATATTTATTTTATATAAAGTACATAGGGTTCACAGTGCGAATAATATTTGACCGACTCGGTAAGTTGTGCTTTTCCAAAATTATTCGCTATCTGGCTTCTGCAGTCGGGGAATATTTCAATCCCAGAAGTTCCCGCGCCATGTAACCTCTGGTGGGCACGGGTGATAGCGCGTATTCCGGGAAGAGGAGTGGGTTGCGCCGAAAACCCGCTTATGTCCCCGCTGCTACGTGAAAACCTGTTGGGCAATCAAACTCTTCTGCCCAAACCGGGAGCAGGAGCCCGGACCCCGTCAGGTATGAAAGGTTTTCCGAAATCCCTCATTACCTCTAATTCTATCTGTAGACTGCTGCGTTTCAAAAGCTTACAATTCTGTGGTGTTAATTGCTCGTTATTTAACCATAAAATGCCACTTCGTGCAATGCAAATGCTGAGAAAATGTGTTCCATACAGTAGATACCATTAGTTGTATGAGATTAACGATGATGCTTGTAGTGCAACAAAGTTATTTAATACTTCAATTGTATGTGACGAACAAAAGCAATTGCATTGCTTTCGTTCAACTATAGGTAAACAAATATATTGAACAATTCAGTAAATTGTTCCAAGCATTAAGTTACTTCGACGGGGAATGAAACCCGGGTCTCAGTCCTGCATTACGTCTACCGTTGACCTTGCAAGTTTTAATTTTATCTGCTTACAGCCATTTCATGAGTAACCTCTTCCAATTATGGCTGTGGAGGATAATTGTGCCTACCCTGCCAACGAGAGCGGAGGTAGCTCAGGGTAACAGTTGACACTGCAGCATCTCTTGAGTGTCATTGCAACAACTGAACGGAGTTGAGCGGATGTACGACTTTTTTTTGTGGAAGACAATTTTTATTTAAATTTATTTAAATGAATGTTATATCAAAATCTCAGTATGTTTCATTAAGGTCAAGAAACTTACAATAAGGTAAAAATTGTACATTTTATAACACGTTGAAATATTCATTATTAAACAAAATGTGGCATCGGAACGAAACTTTTAAGTCTGTAGGAAATCACGTCATGGTTCAAGTTACACTATACTCCAAATCTTGATCCACTATCGCAATAATTGCTATCAGTCATTTCTCGAATTAAATAAACTAAATTTTGTGCTTGCTCGGTTCTTTTGCAATATTAACGATTTTTCTTAGCGCCGAGAGCAGTTTCAATTGTCCTCTACTCCTCATGAAAGCAATTTAATCATAGAACAGAACACTTTTCAAGTAGGCCTATGCTAAATAATTTCATTATGGTGGCATTTAAATTGATGTATACATTATTCTAAATATCGCGTAAATAGCATTATGCTGTAATCATTATTAGAAATCAAAGTATGGTGTCTATTTTCGTGTTCAGGTTGTTTGTATTTTTACATTAGTTTTCTTGCGTAGCTTGTCATTTTTTAGGATTTATTGTCCTCCTATTCAACATAAGTGTTTTTTAGGGTTGTGAATAGAATCACATATAACTTTTAGTTTATTTCATAGTTGTGGGTGCCATAGATACAGAGAATGATCGTTGACATGATAATTCGATGAAAGTCATTATTTGAGGCCGAGTTTCTGCTATTTTATGATTACGTGGTCTGAATTTGTCTTTAAGGAGGCGAGAGTTTA